ATATTTTGGGATCCTCACCAGACATGTAAGATTTTGTAGTTCCTCTATTAAATCAATTCATTCAGTCAATTCAGATCTTAGAAAATGGTTTCTAGTGGATGAGAAGAGGAAGTTTCTATTGATATGGTTGTATGTTACGGTGAGGTAAGAAATGGAAGGAAATAATAACAGTTAAAAATCATTGAAAATAAACTCATCAAAGAAATCCACCTAAGAAAAAAGATTTTAACAATTCCACCTTATGTTTAACCAGTTACCACTCTCCCATGACTATCATCCAAACAACACATTTAACTTGAATCCAAGTTAAACAGGATCTTCTCTTACCTATTCATTTTAATCACACTTATTAAGCACAAATTTTTTTCAAATTATTTCACCCCAAACAAAATGATAATACCACTAAGATGCAAGGGGTTACTGGGAGTGAAAGAGAATGAGAAGTCTTTAGTGAGGAAAAAGGACAATAAAAGAACAGGTTTCAGGAAGATAGGAGATAGTGATTTGTGTCACATTTAAATTTTCGATGATTGTAGATAGCAGGGAAGCAAGAAACTAGAAGATAATTCCACAGGTGAAAAGTGTGAGAAAAAACTATTAGAATAGTGTTTACAGTTACATCTAATTATTTCAACAATAAAATAATGAGACCTAATTGCCAATCTAGTTGCACGCTTAAATTCATGCAGTTGAGATACCAAGGAGGAAAGATTATCAGAACAATTGTCATAGAAATATTTGTAGAAAAGACAGAGGGAAGTCACATAACATTAGTGAGAAAATAACTGAAGTCAAGATGACATGTCAGGGTCAATTAGATTACTGACCCTACTCTGGATTTTATTAAGAATTTCAATATACAGGGTGTCTAAAAAAATTGACATCATTTAAAATGTGAATATCTGAGTAACTCCATGTCCCCAGCAAACAAAATTAAGTAGGCTTCATGTTGAACAATAAAAGATTTATTTATAAAAATATCAAAGAAGATATTCAAAGGGATGTAGATTTTATAACCGATTTCACAAAGCTTCACGAATGTGCAATATATACACCACCTGTGTGACACGACACACATCAAGTTGGTAGTCCAGATCCTGCCAAACATGCTGTAGCATGTCTTGTGTAACATTCTCCAATGCCTCAATGATTCTCCACTTAAGTTCCTCTAGACTTGTAGGAAGAGAGAGGGTATAGCCCCATAAAAAAAAAATCACAAGGTGTTAAGTCAGTTGAACATGGTAGCCATTCCAACAGCACATTGTCATTATCCCTGGCATGCCCTCTCCATCTTCCTGATAGATTCTCATTGAAATAAGTCCATACAGTCAACTTAGTTTTTATACATTTTGTTAAAATTTGAGATCATTTAAGTGAGAATTGGCTATGTTATTAAACTATGAAATGTCAATTTTTTTGGATACCCTGTATATAGTAGGAGCACCAGACCAGATATGCCAGCAGTATTCAATCTACAGACAAATGGTAGATTTATAAATGTGCAAAATGAATTCTGACAAGAAAAATCATCTGGCACAATACAGTGAATCAACTTTCTGAACAGCAGACCTAACAGACCTCCACATCATGATAATAGAAAACGTGAGCCCAAGAAGACACAGTGAGTTGCTCTCCTGGAGGTTAGCATCAGCCATGCTGATGACAGGCAGAAAAGGTTCTCTGTGTTGATTAAATGAAATCTCTTTTTTTTTTTTTTTTTTTTGAGGCATTAAAATTAACAAGCCATTCCTTGCCCCAGTTAACCACTAATTTGAGGTCCTTTTTGAGAGCAGCTAGCAGTTTAGCTTTGTCACACTTGCTAAGATAGGAGAAAATACTTGTGTCATCCACATAAATACTTAGTTGGGAATTGATGAAGATAAGAAACAACATATGTACAAGGATAGATTCCTGGGAGATCTCCACATTAATATGAAATGAACTAGAAGCATGTCAGTTCAATATGACCTTCATTACATGACTTGTCAGGAATGATTAGATTAAGCCAAATATTCATCCATGGACATCATAGCCCTTGAGCTTGTGGAGAAATCCTGTCCAATGCATCAGCCTGAGCCTCTATATTCTTAAGCCTGATAGACAAATTCAGTAATAGTTGTTATCTCATCAGCACTAGTTCAGAAGAAACAGAAGCCATATTATTTATCCAAAAGAAGGCCATGTGAGGTGAGATGCTTAATACTTTGCTAAAAAGATGTAGAAGATTAATACTGCAATAATTTGAGGGTTCAGAAGGTTCACCAGAGTTCTTAAAGACAGAAATGACAGAGAAGGATTTCAGACAAGCTAGAAAACAAGGAACATAGTATCATGACAAAATTTCAGCTGAGGAGAGCCAACCTGTCTGCTTGACTTGATAATCAGAATTCAAAATCCTAGTTTATTACCTGGTCTTGAACACTAGTGCTAATTCCACAACTATCCCAGCCACTAGGCAGGCCACTTTTCCAGAAGTCATATTTTGTTGTTTTCTTTCTGTCATTCTCTTTTACTATTGAAAGCTTAATACAGCACAAGGTTAAACAAAGTCAGGACGATTGTGTAGTGCCAATCTTTCAAATAGCAAGGGTATACTTGCTCAGAAAATCAACATACTCTTTTTTAAGCATCATTATTCATAGAGCTTAAAACGATTACTTGGTTACTTATTTTAGTGGATTATTTTACTTACAATTACTGCCTCGTGACGCAAACAATAGTTAGTGCATTATTTAAACTAATTAGCCTTAATGAAGAATTCTTCTTTATAGCCATCTGTCACTTATATTATTGCCAATTAAGACTGTTTTTTTTACATTTATATAAGTAATGAAGTAATCGTTCTAAGTGACATCATTAATTGAAATAAGTGATGCGTAATTTTTTGCATTTTAATAACAAAAATGTCCCTCACTATTTAGTTTTTAGATTATTTACAAGATTAATTTTATATCTACAAGATTATAAAAATATGGGAACAAATTACAATGCAATATTATTTACAATTTTACAAAGGTTTATTAATTTCCATGGAGGCATGGTAGAGTGATTGATGGCGGCTCAGATTGAGGAATCAGAGAGCAAGTTCAAATGCCAATTGAGTTCATTATATTCACTTATATAAGTAGCAAAATAATTGTTCTAAATAACACGGTTAATCATAATAAGTGCTAAATAATTTGTTGCTTTTTTTTTATCCTGAAACTGTCCTCTTGTACAAGTGTGACATATACAACTATTTCAACCACAAGGCAGGGCACATTTACATCAGTATATTTTTATCTATCTTTTCTCTGTGTCCTTCTTTTGTATTATTGATATTTGTTTAGATTGAGTGTTATAACATATAGGAAACGTGACACAGGAAACTTAACACACATTGCAATAACAAAATATGCCTATCAAAAGCTAAGCAAAGTATTAAGAGAGGAACATTTGTTTGGAAAGTAAATAATTCCCAACTACTAAGTAATATCAATCCACTTCTATGGCAGTCAATGCTGGACAGTTTCTTCATAGATGTAGAGGAGGAGGCTTGTGGCATCATAGATTTGGTCCTACAGAAGGATGATGAGAATAGCATGGATAGAATATGCATGCAACAAGGAAGTTTTAAAGAAAATGGGAACAAAATAAACACTTACAATCAGAAAGAATTGAAATTTTTGGCATATATAATAAGGAAAGAAGGCTTAGAGAATTTGACACTTCCAGGACATAGTGAAGGCAAAAAGGGTAGGGGGAATATTGAATAAACTCCTTAGCAAGTGTGAATAGATGGCAGAAAAGGAACTGCGAAAAATAGAGGTTAAACATTGCTTAGAGCTAGAGGATAGGAAGTTGTGGAGAGCCGTCATCATCCACATTGTGAAGGGGCACAGCACATACAAGAAGACTAAAGAACTGGGGTGGGTAAGTGTAAATAGATTGTTACACTAATTTTTCAAAGGGTAAGACCATTCGAAATATTGAATTTATATATTGGCATTTGCTATTTGCCTGTTGCCTCATGGCACATAAGGCCTCTGGTGAGGATTCTGTAATCCAGTTTTTCCACAAGGTAAGGTGATTGGTCACATACCCAACTTCACTACTCTTAAGAAGAGTTGGTTTTCTGACAGGCCTTTTCATCCTTTAAATGATCATGTGTTCCCATTCAAACAAGCTCCCTCCAAATGTGGAAAGATTTCCATCTCATCATCTTGCGGCCTCAGCCGAGATTGAACTCACCAATACTTTGATTGGTGTAGTTCATAATCTTGTCAAATAGCAGAATTCTTGATGCTTCGCTAGGGCTATCAAGGGTGTTTTTATCGTGACACCAACACTAAATGGATTGCCAACCAAGGCTCAGAGAGACTCCATTCACCCTCCTCTAAGAGCAGGTTTGAATTCAGAGTTTTCCTTCTCCTAAGGCTATAGAACCCAGTCTGTCCTGCTATTTACCCATAGCTGGAGGGAGAAGAAGAGGATTCATACCTTTCCCAAAGTTATTAGCACGTAAGTGAATGTAATGGATTCGACTGGAATTCGAACTTGGCTCTCCGATTCTTCAATCCAAGCCACTATCCATTACTCCACCGTGCCTCCATCTCATAGATTGATTGCTAAAAAGCCTAATCTACCCTAGAGCTCTTTCTTTACTCTCTCTTTAAAGAGGAAATAGTGGAGACTGTTATCCTAAGTTGTAGCCTTTGTATTCTGATTGAGAAAATATTATTCAGTAGAGCAGTACAAGTAAACTACTTTTTCAAGCTTAAAGAAAACCCCAGATACTTTCACAGATTTCAAAATGCAAATGATGCATTTTCAAGAAATGTCATTTTCAAAAGCTTAGGTAATGAAGTACTTAATTTCTGATGGGGGTGGGGGATAAAATTCAGGTGAGTAAAGGCCTAATTCCTTTTGATTCAATACGACATTAAAAGCTTTCATCTACAATATATTATGAAAAAGATACAACTTAATCCTAAAGATTTTCTTTTTTCTTCTCATTTCAGAGGCAAAAATCTCACTGGAGGAAAAAAACTGCCATTTTTTGCCTGTGGAGTGAGTTCTGTTATCCATCCTGTAAGTAAAACAATCAAATTATTTAATTTAGTCAAGATGTAATCAATAAGATGACTTCAACAGTTTATAAAGGGGGTAAAATATATTGCAGTAGAATTCTTTCTTGCAGCCAGATACATGTTTAAACTGTTTCCATTATTTTGCTCATACATAGAAAAAAAATTAGGACAAGGCCAAAATGGCAAAAAAACAAAAAAATGGGTCAAGTCTAAAATGGAAAAGAAAACTTGGGACAAAATGTCATTGTCAAAAAATGGGTGATGCCCAAAATGTCAAAATAAAACAAAAAATGGCATTCACTGAACAAATCAATTCATCAATTTTTAAATGTTATTTTTAGTGGATACTCATATTTGAGTAGACGCTCCAGTTATTTATTAAATGGTATATTTACTTATTTTCGTGTACCATCCTGAATATTCAGAAAATTTTATTAAAGACAAATATGCCCTCTCCAGCATGATTTGAACCTGCATCCCCCCTGGGCAAAGGGAACCATCATTATATCGGACATGCTTTAACCAACTCAGCCATGAAGAACATTTGCCAATCAAGAAACGCTGAATAGTGCCTTTAAGGAATATCCTTCTCGCTATACTCTTGAAATTTCCATATCTGCTCAGTTTCATAACCAAACATGAACAAAAAAAAAGCAATGGATATTTTATTTGTTAATGATGGATTATATTTAAATGTTATATTTAGCGGATACTCATATTTGCCCAGGGAGACACAGGTTGGAATCCTTCTGGAGAGTGTATATTTTTCTTTAATAAGATTTCTCAAATATTCAGGCCAATAGACAAAAATAAATAAATATTCTGTTTAATAAATAAACAGAGTATCTACTCTCACAGGTGGATATGGCAAGCCTCTTACTGCTCTATCGCTACTTCCATGGAAAGTGGCAGGGCGAACTACATTCCTTGGTTCCTACAAGTCTAACCTTCATGGCTAGGAACGCGCCCCCCCCTTGTCACTTGTAGCAAATCACTGACATTCCATCTATATTTCATTGGCAAAAAGTAAGCTCAACTCAAACAGCTTCTTCTCACAAACTACTCTGTGAAACAAACTCCCAAGATGATGTTTCCCTGATCAGTAAAATCTTAACCTGTTCAAGTCTAGAGTTAATCATTATCTTCCTTTTCTATCCATATAAACTACCCTTTAACGTAATCCTCTACTTTGAATGCCCCCCCCACTGCCCTCGACCTTGTACTGAGTGAACTTTACTGTAAAAAAATAAAGAGTATCCACTACAAAATAATGTTTAAAGCGATAAAATCCATTACTTTAGAAAATATTTATGTATGTAGATCTTTGTTTAAGTGTTGTAACTGAGTTATCAGAATTGATTTAAGAAGTTTATTACCTTTTGGTATAGGGAAACAATGTAGAATAGAAACTAGAGAAGTCAATGTTTAGCCATGAATGTGTGTTTTCAGCAAAATCTGCTACTGCTACTCCTCTTGATGTAGGTGTATTTTTATGTCTTTCATCCAATGGTCAAGACCAAATTTGTAGGGAAATATTTTCCCTCACGACAATAAGTTATAAGAATGTGGGTTCATCTTGACTGGTTTTTGCAGGTCTGCATATTGAAAGCGCTCCTCTCAACTGAGAAAAACACTTGTGTTATGTAGCTCTCTCTCCCAGACCCATGCTGACTATTGGCTAATACCTGTCCAGTATTGTTCATATGCAAATAGTCAGTGCCACCTACTCTAATTAGAAGGTCTTCTCTCAACAGCCCATTATGGAAGGAGACACAACTCCTGCTGGTTAAAGCACCACATACAACCAACTAAGGGTCTTTTATCGGACTGACCGGATTCTCTGTTACAGAATGTTATAAATAGTTATAAGAATGGCAACTGAGAAAACCAAATGTTACCTTGAAAAAGGAATATCAAGCCTTTAGTCAACCTTTGAATATGGTAATTTTTGCACTTCAATACCAGTCTCAACCAATCACATTTCTTACCCCCAATAAATAAATTTGGTACTTTGGACCAAGAGATTACTGGCATTTTGTGAATAAAGATGTGTATTGCAAGTTGTGATAGGAATTTTTTTTTTTAACTCTTTTGACGTTGGATTTTCGAGATTGATTTTTGACCCTTAAAATTTATAATTTCAGGCTTTTAATTTATTTTCTGAACCTCCTTTTTGTTATTTATTTCAAAATATGATTAAGTTATGAGAGCAGCATATCTTTTTTTCTTTACAATGTATTTATGTATTTATAGATCTTTTATGTAAAAGTAAGGATTATTTTATAATGGAACGACAATAATTTGACTACCGAAAAATCTTAAAATAAATATTGGAAAAGAAATGAGATAAGAAGATACAATTTCATCTAAAATACAGCATGTCCTTAAATTATTTTCTGGAAAATCAATTGATAAGGAATAAACATAAACAGAGAATAAATGAGTCACTAAAATTTGCTGACTTAATTTTCCTAAATCATCAGAATCATCAAAATAAAACAAGTGCAAATTTTATGCAGACAGCAATGGTTTCTTCTCTCACATGTCTCACATGTGGAACTCTCTTCCAGCTTTTTCTTTTCCTGTCAACTATGATCTTCAAAAATTTCTATGCAACATAAATCGCCGTCTTCTGTTTCTTTGAATCCTGGTCATTTAATCTCCTCTCTTTCCTCAATGTTTTCTCAGTTTCTTACATTTTCAGTAAACCTTTGCATCTTAGTGGCTTTCTCACCTTGCTTGGAGTGAAGTGGTTAAGAAATAAAAAAAAAAATTAAATGATTGAAATAGAGAAAGTCTCAAGATAATCTTAAAAATTAACAACTAATTACTATTGGTAAGCTAAAGACTTACTGATCCACTCATATATATATGTATTTAATAATCAAAGTAACCCCACCAAATCTAAACTGGTGATGAGCAATATAGTGTATCAATTTCACCGCCCAATACAAGATTGTGTTTCTTGTCATAAATCAATTACCTATATTGGACATACAACCACCTCCTTGACTAGATTCTTCCCCTGTTGCCTAGCAGAGAAAACATTTAGCAAACCTATAATCTATAAGAGCCCTAAGGAAAGATATTAGTCGATAACACTAGTCATTTCTAAACCAAATTCCAGAAGACACCTGGTTATATAAGAGGGCCTTGTACATCAAACAACTCTCCCCCACCATCAACCTGACTTTATTTAACTATGGTAACTTAATGCTGAAAGTTATTTAAAAATAAAACGTTGCCCACTCAAATTCCAGCCATGCCAAACACACGATGGCTCAGAATTGCTGTTACTATAATTCACAAATAATATATTTACACAGTCATGAAAATGAAACTAACTACATGAAAATAACATGAAAAAATCAAACTCCTTCAGAATGGCTAAAGAAGTGACCAAAGGTGCTTGGGGGCAATCAACACTATGAACAATTTTCGTACTTGCTCACTCCCACCAAACAGAAAAAAATGTAAGAACACTAGAAAAACTAAATAAAAAATTGATAAAATTTTCCTTGTCCATCATATTTAAGGAAAGATGTTTAAAAGAAAAGTTGCTACCCAAATATACATTAATCATATATATATATATATATATATATATATATATATAGGGTGTGCTGGATAAGTTGTGGTCTAAATTATACAAAAATGTAAATAACACTGACATCCTAGTGGGAAAATAAATGGAGGCATAGCATCACCATCACTAGTGATCACTCCAAACAATTAAGATGTTGACTGGATATATTATCCATTTTTTTTCGATTCCTCTACACTGTCCTCAGATTGACACCCAAGCATGTTTGTATTAGAGCTTTCAGTGGAAATGCCAAGCAGCACAGTCAACCGTTTCCAAATTTCTGGTGGAGGGAATTGTGTCATGGTGCTCTTTTTCTCACAGATGGTGCCCAACTGACCCTATTATATTGTGCCTCTGACAAAATCAAAAACAAACAACATGCATATGCAAAATTAAAAATATAAAATGCCAACAATTTACTCATCACACCCTGTGTGTATGTGTGTGTATATATATATATATATATATATATATATATATATATATATATGAAGATTAATGTAAGTAAAATTTGTCACTTCAGAGGGTATAAATATAAATATAGTGGACATTGAAGTTAACACCCCACGCAACACTCTGTTTCTTTTAGCATGCAAAAGATTGTCACCTCTGAGTGTTGACTTCAATGTCCTCTTTTATATTTATATTTACATACACTCTGTCTCTGATATTGAGCACTTTAACCCATAAATATAGCATACCCTAAAAGTATATTTTATCATACACACACACGCACACACATATGTGTGTGTATATATATATATATATATATATATATATTACATTTTATTACATGGAGGACTGCATGCTTATCCGAAGATACAGGAATCTACTAGTCTCCGCGCATTCCTACAAGAACAGAAAAGATTTTCTAACAAACTGTATATATGAAAAATCTTTCCATCGGAATCAGATTTATAAAATTTTTAAGAATACGTTGTGAAAGCGTTGCCCATTTGACGACAACGTGACCACGCTCAAACGGAAAGCTGATCATTTAAAATTTTCATTTATCTGTTTTGGATAAGACTTGTTTTTATGTCCATCGTTTTCGTCGTGTTATACTGATTATGTTAATTGTATTTTAATGAATATTGTCCTGAAGAAGGTTATTAAACTGAAACGTCAGACGTCGACATTTCATTCATATTTAAAACAACATAATCGCATTTTAAGGATTTTTATTTTGTTTTTCCAGATATTTTCTTCATTCTGTCGGATTTATATCCATTTATATTTGCTTATCATATATATATATATATATATATATATATATATATGGTGGACTCTCTTGTCATGGATGACAAATGAGGGATCAATAAAATAAAGAGGTGCTCAACTTTAAGGACATGCATATGTCTTCCAAGCCCTGCAGGTGTTTTGCAAACTTATAGGCAGATAGAGCCTGTGGTTGAGCCATTTTTTTTTTAAGTGTTTGAGGATCAATTGCCACATGTTTCAATGAATAGACATCAAGGTCTTCTTTACCACATATGACAAAGCCATGGTGGCAAGTAAGGCTATCCTTGAGAGGAGCAGCATGCTGCCAACATTCTTTAATATTTACATGCAGGTGATCTCGATGTTCAAGTCGGCCTCACTCAAACATTGGTATAGATGAGAAGCAGGACCAGTGACAGCTCCTTTGCCCTGATGCCTTTGCTTTCACAGGAAAAATGGTCTTTAGTCTTGTCAAGTAGCTTGCATGTTTATGTATACTAATTCTATTTGGTCTTATATAAGATTGTTTCTGTATGCATATATATATATATAGAGAGAGAGAGAAAATTAATACAAGTAAAAGGTTTGTCACTTAACTGATTCATGTTACCTTCAGTATCCTGACTCAAGAGTTTCATAAACAGACACTCTGGGTATCACTCCATCCACTCATCAGAGAGTATCAGCAATTGTCTCTCTATACTTCTTGATTGTTCTTTTTTATCTGCACTTTTCATTGATGCAAGTTTGTAGAAAAGACAAAATGAAAACGATACTTAGTTTAGCGAATGTGTTTCATCATTCAACTGACATTTGCCTTGATAAAGTCCGTCAAATGACAAAATATGTCAGCTAATCTAAGTATAGTCTTCCTCTTGTCTTTTCATCTCTCATTCTCTCTCTCTCTTTCTATATATATATATATATATATATATATATATATATATACACACACACACACAAGATTGTCAAGTGTTTGAAGAAAGACCAGAAACCACATACCCTTGCTTTGGCTGATGTTAATTTGATGGTGTTCAGAAGTGAATAAAGAATTACTTTGCTTGTTTATCAAATTTCTTACTTTGCAGGCTGATAAAATAGTATTTTTCATAATATAATCTGATGATGGGGATGAAAATAAACATTGAAATATAAACTATATTACCCAATATAATTGCTGTTAATCAAATTTCTTTGTAGTCTTACAAAATATTTTTTGTATTATAATCTGACGATGATGAAAATAAATATTGAGATATAAACTATATTACTCACTCTTCTTGCTTGTTAATCAAATTTCATTGCAGGCTGAGAAAATATTTTTTTCATAATATTATGTGATGATGATGATGAAAATAAATATCAAAATATGAATTACATTGGGGACTATTCTTACTTGTTAATCAAATTTTGATGACCTAAATCCATTTTACCTAAATCTCCTTTGTCATCTGGACGGATGATCTGGACAGAGGAGGTGTGAGTGTGAATTGTTCTTTTCTTAATATTATTCTTTTTTTTTTTTTGTCATTTTCTAGAAAAGTCCTCACGTACCAATTATCCACTTCAACTATAGATACTTTGAGACGATCAATCCTGATGGTTCTGTCCAATGGTGGTTTGGAGGCGGCACTGACATGACTCCAATCTACTTAGTTGAAGAAGTAGGTACATTTCTATATATCTATTGTAATGTGTCATCAGTCGCTGGTAGCCTTCTCCTGAAAAACAGGGTATGTGACTACTTTATTGTTTCAACAATGTTTATTTTGATATATGCATAAAACCCTGGCTAAATGCATTCTTTGTTACTACTATTATTTTATTACTGCATCTTATTAGTGTTACTTTTTATTCAAACGCTTTCATTCAATACACTCTTCATTATTACAACTATTATTATTCCAAGTTATTATTATTGCTTTTTATCCTAACATTCAAGATTGATACACTCATGATTAGTATTATTATTATTTTATTACTAGTTTTATTCCAAGTTATTATTATTGCTTTTTATCCCAACAGTTTCATTCAATACACTCTTTGTTATTACTACTATTATTATTACTATTATTTTATTACTAGTTTTATTCCAAGTTATTATTATTGCTTTTTATCCTAACATTCAAGATTGATACACTCATGATTAGTATTATTATTATTTTATTACTAGTTTTATTCCAAGTTATTATTATTGCTTTTTATCCCAACAGTTTCATTCAATACACTCTTTGTTATTACTACTATTATTATTACTATTATTTTATTACTAGTTTTATTCCAAGTTATTATTATTGCTTTTTATCCTAACATTCAAGATTGATACACTCATGATTAGTATTATTATTATTTTATTACTAGTTTTATTCTATCTTATTATTATTGCGTTTTATCCCAACAGTTTCATTCAATACACTCTTTGTTATTACTACTATTATTATTACTATTATTTTATTACTAGTTTTATTCCAAGTTATTATTATTGCTTTTTATCCTAACACTAAGGGTTGGTACACTCATAATTATTATTATTTTATTATGAGTTTTATTGCATATTATTATTGTTGCTTTTTATTGTAACACTCTGGCTCTATACATTCTTCATTATTACTATTATTTTATTA